GCGCTTTAGGAATTTATATCTAATGAAGGTGGTGGAGAGGCTCCTCTGGAGGGAGCGATGCCTGATATGACATCTTCTACTGAGTTAGTGGCTTGTGCTTTGAGTCATACTTATTAGCTTTTCGTGTTCTAGTAGGTCTTACGTTGTTACTCACCAATTCCCTTGTAGGTTATATGTCAACCTGCAAAAGATATACCAGGCAAAGGCCGAAGCTGATTTTCTTGTCATGGAGACATACATGAGGAAAATATTAAAGAAGATAGGTAGAGATCCCGATAGCATCCCAAAGGCAACCATAAAAAGTTTCTGCAAAAATGCTCGGAAACTTAAGGTTTGTGCAAAAAACCTTTACCCTGCATTTTTTTTCCGTCCTCCCAGCTTTTTCCATGGAATAAGAAGACAGCTTTAGTCAGCCAATTACTGAATTTTCAGTCACTGTTATTTTTCTCATGCTTCAATCGTCTAGAACCATACATGTGTTAGTTTTTGCTTTGACCATAAACTAATGGTCACAAAGTACCTTGTATTGTTTTCAGTTCATAGCTATAACTGATATTAGTAATGTTCCAAGAGAATTGTGAGTTTGAATTTAACTGAATATTTAGAAAGTGAGGGATTGCATTGCTTTCTAAGTCCCATATAGGGTTCCCTGTGTTCCCCATGATGGCACAGTTTTATTTGTGGTGTCCCTCCATTTTTTCAATTTTATTCTTTGGCATCTTCATTGAGTTACAGAAACTAAATTAAAATAATTTTCTATTTTTATCCATTATTAGGTACGCAGATACCGTTCTATTGAGGATGAGTACAGTTCTCCGGTTCAACAGGAGTTGCAAAAGTATCTAACAGATGAAGATTACAGGTATTTTTTCCTTCCCCCTTATACCTGAATGTAACTTCTCAACAGCGTTAGATGTATTTTGTAGTATTTCTTGGATACATTATGCGAAGTCTTAACACCTTATGCTTTAATATACGAAATGGCGGTACATACTGCTTTTATACATATTGCTTTGCTTGGTAATACCATTGCCATTTTTTTTGTGCTAGTATGGCTGTTGGATTTTATATCCTTCTACGAGCGGTAGACCGTTTTGCTGCAAACTACAACAGTTTCCCTGGGCAATTTGACGGGTAAACAATTTAACCACTGATTGGCCATATGAGTACTCTATTAAAAGTTAATACCTGATGCATACATAATCATGATTGATATTATGCAGTGAGACAGATGAGGATATTTCTAGATTGAAAACGACAGCTGTTGCCTTACTTAATGATTTGGGTTGCAATGGATCGACCTTGACCGAGGACCTTATTAACGAGATGTGCCGTTATGGTGCCTCAGAGCTTCATGCTGTGGCCGCCTTTATTGGAGGAATAGCATCACAGGAGGCGATTAAGGTTGGTTAAGTTCATTTTATTTTTTTTCAATCTTGTCAAATGCAGTCTCGGTGCAAGCATTGTTCGATCTTCGAATGTTAACCATTATTCCTCAGGTAGACATTGTAATGTGAACATAAAATCTTAAAAAAATGTAGTGCTTTCCGGAAACATTTGACACAAGAAATCCATGTTTGTGTGCCATTAAAACCGATTTTGATTGGATTTTCAATTTTGAATTAAAGTGGGCTAATTTTAAATAAAGTTGATTGCGTGGATGATTGAGTGGGATTTTGATTCTGTATTTAAAATGTAATGATAAAAGTTGATGTGATGAAAAAGTATGGTTGAGGTTATTGGAAATGTTAGGCAGTTAACAATATGTGAGTGAATGAACAGTGAATTAATGTTGATGTAATGCGTGAGGATGATTGATTGATATTATTTAATTATATTGATAATATTGAGGCGTTTATTTGTTTATTTATTTATTTTTCTCTGCAGCTCATCACGCGACAATTTGTTCCGCTGAGCGGGACTTTTATCTTCAACGGTGTTGATCACAAGTCGCAGTTGTTATTACTTTAGGCTTACTAGCAGCGGGTACATGCTTTATCTAATGTGAATAATTTTGTGCCAGTTGTTTGATCCTTTAGCACTCATCAAATGTTTTCACGTTGTAGGAAGATCGAGCTTTTTCTGTTAACGGCACTTCAAATAGAGGCTCTTGCCGAAACTTTTTCATATCAAACTGCTAAAAATGCATTCGGCATTGTCAAACAAGGTATCCTACTTCTCTCAAGTGGCTTTAGAACGCATAATGTTTGCGGGAGTTTTGTACATTGAGAGTTTGGATATATACTTAACGAGCGTTGATGATCTTCTATTGTGCGAGTTCTTGTACTCTTGAAATTTTTAACGACTTGCCATTATAAGCGTCTCGTGTAGAATTAGCAGTTGTCAGTGTAAACAGTGAATCCTTGAAATCTTATATCAGTTCCCCTGATTTTGTTATTTGGACCAAGCTTTTGATCTCAAATCAACTGTAAGTTTGTAACACGTCAAACTCATATAGATGACATTTGCAGGTTCATAAACTTGCTCCCTCATCCTTACAGGACCAAAGTACAATTAAGCCTAATAATCATAATAAAAGATAGATTAGTTTTTCTTAATCTTTCTGTGAATTATATTTTTGGCGAGTTTTTTACTTTTTTTCATCAACTAGTTGTTAAAGCTCTAATGAGCATATTTCGTGCCTCCTTATGCCACATAAAAAATATGCAAATCTTCGTCTAATATAAAAAAATTCTCCAGATAAGATTGAGGAAAATGCACAATCAATTGGCACACAATTGTCCCATTTGAAATGCAAGTGCCGATAATATAACTTTATAAAAATGTAAAATTATATTGTGAAATGTTATAATTTTGATAATATAACTTTATAAAAGTAACATTTCGACATAAAAATACTTATATATGTAGAAAAAAACATAATGATGCTCTTTCACAGGATGCTTTTCAACAGAATTCTGATATACGTTCAATGGAAGTTCTTCAAAAGAAATCACAACTGGCATAATTTTTTTTGTGTTTGAACTTTGAAATCACTATTATAATATATTTTTGAAAACGAAACAATTTAAATCGAACACATTGTGCCAAGCGCCATGAAGTAAGTTGTGTTGGACTCAAATTTCCACCGAATTACATATATCTCTAAGCCTTTTTATAATTTTCATGAAATCATAATTTGGTTCTTTATTTGTTTTTTACTTGGTGTAAAGTTTCAAATCATTATATATAATCATGTCCAACACTTTATTTCGAGTAGATAGTGAATTCATATTCTGCTGTACAATATAATTCTCTCGTTATAACGTGTAATAAATACATTTTTCTACCATACTTAATTTTTTTGTTTCATCTCCAAACTTGAATTCGATCAATGAACAGTAATGAATTAACATGCCACACAATATTAACTTAGCACCATATATAGTAATTAGTCAGCTATATTTGACTCCAGCCGCTGCAAGTCAAACGACGATACTAGGATTCGGTTCAATAATCCTTTTT